TGCATGGACAGAGGGTAGATATCTTTGCGCTTGACTATGATGCTATTCTCACTGCCATGTATGCATTGCCTACTAGTGCTGACCGTGCCTGTTACCTGTGCGTACCGCCTGACCCTGGTATAGAGCTACTCTCGGTGCTGGTGAGGCTGCTGCTCTAGGTGCTAGTGCGTCTCCTGCTCTAGGTGCTGGTGAGGCTGCTGCTCTCGGTGCTAGTACGTCTTCTGCTCTAGGTGCTGGTGAGGCCGTGGCTTCAGGTGCTGGTGAGTCTGCTCTCTCTGGTACTGCGCCCTCTGCGGTCTCGCACACCTTCACCCTTGACTCAGGAGCTTCCCGCTCCTTCTTTCGCGACTGCACCACACTCACGCCGCTCAGTCGGCCAGTTCCAGTCTCCCTGGCGGACCCCTCCGGGGGCCCAGTCCTTGCCCACTACTCCACGGTTCTGCCGTGTCCGGCCGTCCCGTCTGGCTTCCTGTCAGGTCTTTACCTCCCCTCGTTCTCTACGAACTTGGTGGCGGGAGCTGACCTCCAGGATGGAGGGGTTCACCAGTTCACTCCTGCGAGTCAGCGAGTGACCCGCTGTACGTGTGCTCGGACGGGCCGACACCTGGCCACGTTTACCCGTGCGCCTGGCTCGAGTCTGTACACACTCACCACTGAGTCCCCTCAGGTAGCTGCGTCTGCGTCTGTGTCTGGTCAGCTGGCGGCCCCCTGCGAGTGTCGCGCTTTGTCGCACGACACTCTCCTGTGGCACCACCGCCTTGGTCACCCCTCCTTGCCTCGCCTGCGTAGCATGCACTCTCGCTCCCTGGTCTCTGGTCTTCCCAGGTCTCTGCCTGCCCTCCCTCCCTCGCCTGCGCCGCCCTGCATTCCTTGCGTCGAGGGGCGGCAGCGCGCCGCTCCTCACTCCTCCTCGTTTCCTCCCACAGAGGCTCCACTGCAGACGCTCCACCTGGACGTGTGGGGCCCAGCCCGCGTCCAGGGACAGGGCCGCGAGCGGTACTTCCTGCTGGTCGTCGACGACTACACGCGTTACACCACGGTCTTCCCCTTGCAGAGCAAGGGGGACGTCCCTGATGTTTTGATCCCTTGGATCCGCGCTGTTCGTCTCCAGCTCCGCGAGCGGTTCCGGTCGGACTTTCCTGTCCTGCGTCTGCACTCTGACAGAGGTGGTGAGTTCTCCTCCGACCTCTTGGCAGCCTACTGTGCGGAGCACGGCATCACCCAGTCGTTCACGCTTCCGGCCTCTCCGCAGCAGAATGGGGTTGCTGAGCGCCGCATTGGCTTAGTCATGGAGGTCGCTCGTACCTCCATGATCCATGCGGCTGCCCCCCATTTTCTGTGGCCGTTTGCGGTCCGGTACGCCGCGCATCAGCTCAACCTCTGGCCCCGTGTCTCCTTGCCGGAGACCTCGCCCACACTGCTGTGGACGGGGAAGGTTGGCGATGCGTCGCGTTTCCGGGTCTGGGGTGCTCGTACCTTTGTCCGCGACACCACCACGGACAAGCTCTCCGCCCGCGCTGTTCCCTGTGTCTTTCTTGGCTTTGTCCCTGACGCGCCTGGTTGGCAGTTTTATCACCCCACCTCGCGCCGTGTCTTTGCGTCTCAGGACGTCACGTTCGACGAGTCGGTTCCCTTTTACCGTCTCTTCCCCTACCGCACTGCCCCGCTCCCCCCCCCGCCGCTCTTCCTCGCTCCAGGTGCTCCCCAGGTAGACCCCCTCCCCGCTCCCGGTCCTGCTCCTTCAGGTGTTTCTCAGGTAGACCCTCCTCCCTTTACTGCGCCGGTTGAGGTCACTGGTGACTCAGGTCCTACTGAGGGTGGTCCTGCTCGGGGTGCTACTTCTGGGGGTGCTGAGCCTGGGGGTGCGGAGCCTGGTGGTGCTGAGCCTGGGGGTACTGAGCCTGAGGGTGCGGAGCTTGAGGGTGTGGAGCCTGGTGGTGCTGAGCCTGAGTGTGAGGGGTCTGGGGGTGCTGAGCTTGGCGGTACTGACGCTGGAGGTTCTGGAGCTACTGAGGGTGCTGGCGCTGGAGGTTCGGGAGCTGCTGGAGGGCCTAGTACTGGTGGCGCTGGAGCTGGAGGTTCTGGAGCTGCTGAGGGTGCTCGCGCTGGAGGTTCTGGAGCCGCTGGAGGTACTGGTGCTGAGGGTACTGACACCGGAGGTTCTGGAGCCGTTGGGGGTGCGGGCGCTGAGGGTTCTGAGTCTGCTGTTGCGCGGTCTCCTTGGAGTAGCCGCCTTCGTCCACGTGTGCCTCTCACCCCACAGCAGCTGCAGGACCGGTACGGTCGCCGTCAGCGTCGCGCTGCTGGAGCTAGGAGTGGTGCTGGTCCTTTGTCTACTGGAGGTGCTGGAGTCGCTGGTTCTGGAGGTGCTCGTGCTAGAGACACTGAGGCTGGAGACCCTGGGACTGGAGGTGCTGGTTCTGGGGGTGCTGCTGCTGGAGACACAGAGGTTGGAGACCCTGGGACTGGGGGTGTCGGCTCTGGGACTGGAGCTTCTGGAGCTGCTGGAGGTACGGGAGCTGTTGGAGGTACTGGAGCTGCTGGAGGCACTGGAGCTGCTGGAGCTGCCGGTACTGGTGCAGCTGCGCCGACACGACTATTCTTCGCTCCGCCGTCTCCATCGTCTCTGCCGCCGCCTGACTCTGCTCTTCGTCAGGTTGTTACTCTCCCGTCGTCTACTGGTCTTCCGTTACAGACTGGCTCACCGCTACCTGCTCCCTCTCCTTACACTGAGCAGACAGGCAGTCCTGCTACACATCGTGAGCCTGCGTCGCGTCCTGTCTCGCCTGTTCGTTCTGGTCGTACCGTTCGTCGTGTCGCTCGTGCGCGTCAGCCGGCTGTCCCCAGCGCACACCTTGTAGTTCGTCGTCCTTCCTCTGCTCTGCAGCCTGTTCCTCTGCCGTCTCCCCCTGCGTCCTCTCTGCCTGCCGTTCCGGACCCTGAGTCTGACCGGTTTCGTACTGAGCACCCTACTGTCACGCGTCTCCTAGCCACGGTTGTCACTGACCCGTCGTTTGAGTCTACTGCTGCGTCTGCCTTGGTCGCTGAGCTTGTTGACTTTGCTGCTGCCTGTCGTCTAGACTACGCCGCTAGTCTTGTTGCTGAGTCTGAGTCTGTCTGTCCTCCGTCCGTCGGGGGTGAGTGTGCTCTTAGCACGGACGTCCTTGAGGACAGGCAGGAGGAGTTCCAGTGTCTTGCTGCTGCTTTACCTCATCTTGTGTCCTCGCTACTTGCCCCTGAGGGAGACCCGGATGCACCAGACATCCCGACTCCGCGCTCTTACGCAGAGGCGATAGAGGGTCCCTACTCCTCTCAGTGGCAGGCAGCCATGGACGCAGAGATGGCTTCCTGGAAGTCCACAGGCACCTACGTTGACGAGGTTCCCCCACCTGGGGCGAACATCGTCAGTGGCATGTGGATTTTCAGGGTGAAGCGGCCGCCGGGTTCTCCGCCTGTCTTCAAGGCGCGTTACGTAGCTCGAGGCTTCAGTCAGCGAGAGGGAGTTGACTTCTTCCAGACCTTCTCCCCCACCCCGAAGATGACCACTCTTCGGGTGCTGCTGCACGTTGCTGCTCACCGTGACTACGAGCTTCACTCTCTTGACTTCAGCACAGCTTTCTTGCAGGGTAGCCTGCACGAGGAGATCTGGCTGCGTCGCCCCCCGGGCCCGAGACAGAGCACGTCGCACCATCACCTTGACTCAGTCACACATGGTGCAGCAGGTCCTTCAGCGCTTCGGCTTCACCTGGTCTTCAGCACAGGCCACTCCTCTGGCTACAGGTCACACGCTCTCAGCTCCACCTTCGAACGAGTCCGTAGAGCCGAGTGGTCCTTACCCAGAGCTAGTCGGCTGCCTCATGTACCTGATGACTTGCACTCGACCTGACCTCGCGTACCCTCTTGGTCTTCTGGCTCGCTACGTGGCTCCTGGTCGGCACCGACCTGAGCACATGGCTGCTGCTAAGAGGGTACTGCGCTACTTGTGCAGCACATCAGGCATGGGGCTAGTGCTTGGAGGGACGAGCCCAGTTGTCCTCACTGGACACTCAGACGCTTCTTGGGTTGACGACCAGGCTACTCAGCGGTCGTCACAGGGTTACACCTTCAGCCTTGGCTCTGGTTCAGTTTCGTGGCGTTCTACACGTTCGTCTTCAGTTCTCAGCTCCAGTTGTGAGGCTGAGATCTACGCCACAGCCATGGCTGCACAGGAGTTACGCTGGCTCACCTACCTGCTGACTGACTTGGGAGAGCAGCCTCGTTCTCCTCCAATGCTGTACGTCGACAACAAGGCCGCCATTGCCTTGTGTGAGGAGCACAGACTGGAGCACAGAACGAAGCACATTGCTCTGCGTTACTTCCTGGCTCGAGAGTTGCAGCAGCGAGGCCAGCTTCGTCTTCGCCACGTGGCCACTCGGGCCAACACTGCTGATATATTCACCAAGGCACTTCCGTCTGGTGATCATCAGCGCTTTTGTACTCTGTTGGGCCTTGTGCCTACGTTTCCACACTTGCTGTAGTCTCTGCTTGTGATCTATATATATACCTGCATGCTGGCTCTTGCTAGGTAGCCATCACTGTACTGTTATTGCTGCATATATATCTCTGCATGTGAACTGGCCCTGTGGCCTTTTGCTTGTGCTCGGAATGCGTGGTGACGTTGTGATCCACCCTGAGCTTGTTTTGCTTCTCTTGACTGGTCGTGTGACCCCTTGTTCTCCCCCACTTTGCCTATGGGGGTGTGTCAAACTATATGTGCTGCATATTGTTTAGGCTGTAGTGGGGTAGCCCATATGGGGTACAACCCAATTAGGGTTTACTACTTGTACTCCTGCATCCTGTTAGTTCATTCATTCCTGCTGCTAGATTTTGACAGTATTCGCTGTGAGTCGAGAGCGATCAAGGCTGGAATAACCTTACCTGAGGTGAGCTTGAGAGCGACGACTAGCCAAGAGCGATCAAGGCTGGAACTCGACGCGAGCGTGGAGGACAACGATTGGATCATGACGCTCCTCGCGGGTCTCGGCGAAGCATGGTCAACGGTGATTACGATGTTGGATGGGACGCAAGATACATGGAAGAAGGAGCAAGTGGTGGCACGCCTCATCAACGAAGAGGCGAGGCGTACGAAATTGCATGGCGATGCAATCGGCGCGGCCCACTTCTCCCGCGATGCGAAGGCGAAAGGGACGAGTCACTTCAAGCGGCGCAACGACGGCAACAACCGCGGGAGCTCGAGCGGGAGCGCGGCGGCCTCAAGCTCATCACGTGGAGGATCGGCCAACGCCAATCGAGCTCGGACGCGTGACGGAGCTTGTCGTTTTTGCAAGAAGACCGGACATTGGTGGCACGAATGTCCCGTCAAGCCGGCAAATTGGAAGCCGTCAAGCGACGACAACCGGCGCGCGCATGTGGCGACATGCAACAACAACGACCGGGAGTTCGTCTTCGTCGCAAGTGGAACAACCGTCGGTGGTGTTGACGCGTGGATACTCGACACGGGTGCTACTCAACGCATGATGGCGTGTGCGACGCTTCTCAACAACGTGACAACGGAGGCTCCCGTTAAGCGCGTGATGTTCGGCAACCGTGACACGTTGGACGTCACGGGACAAGGCGACTTGCGGCTCATGGTGGACGGCGGTCCACTCACCATCAAGAACGTCTTGGTGGTTCCCGGGCTCGGCGCCAACCTCCTCTCCGTTTCTCAACTCGCACGCAAGGGGATGCGTGTGAACATCGAAGGGACCATGATGGCGTTGAGCGCGGCGGATGGCGTACACATCGGCACGGCACGCCAAACGGGAGGACTCTTCATGCTCGATGCCCTCCCAAGTGTGGCGACGGCTCAAGCGGCTACCTCGACAACCACTCTCAAAACGTGGCATAATCGATTTGGCCACCTCCACAACGACGCTATTCAAGCTATAGCAACGAAGGGGATTGTCAACGGCTTGGAGTTTGTGCGCTCGAGTGGAGATGATGAGAAGTGTGTCGGTTGTCTCGAAGGGAAAATGGCACGGAAGCCATTTCCACCAAGCACGAAGCCGAACGCCACCGAACCTCTCAAGCTCGTTCACACGGACTTGTGTGGACCGATCACTCCCGCGTCGAAGGGCGGCGCGCGCTACGTTCTCACGCTCCTCGACGACGCGACGCGGATGTGTTGGATTTGGCTTCTCAAGAACAAGGACGCCACGTCAACCGCCATCAAGCAATGGGTCGCGGATGTGGAGACGGAAAGCGGCTTCAAGGTGAAGCGCTTTCGCTCGGATGGAGGTGGCGAATACACCGCTCGGGAGCTTGGCGATTGGTTGAAAGGACGTGGGACCGCGCACGAGTTTTCTACGCCGTACACGCCTCAACAAAATGGAGCCGCCGAACGCTTGAATCACACGCTCATGGAGTCGGCACGGAGTCTCCTCTCCCATGCTCACGCGGAGAAGCATTGGTGGGGAGAGGCGGTTACGTTGGCAACTTGGATTCGCAACCAGTGTGTGACCAAGGCGTTGCCCAACAAGACGCCTCTTGAGGCTTGGAGCGGTACGAAGCCGGACGTCACCGACCTTCGCACGTTTGGGTGTACGTGCTACTACCATGTCCCGGATGCTACACGGACCAAGCTCGAGGCTAAGGCGCGGGTGGCGATGTACTTGGGACCGAGCGCGGATCACAAGGCGTGGTGTGTGTGGGACTTGGAGCACGGGAAACTCGTGGTGTCGCGCGACGTGGTGTTCTACGAAGACACCTTCCCCTCCAAGTCTACGAACGTGCCCTCGGTCATCATCGTCCCTCCACCCTTGGATGCCGCGGATGAGGCGAATGAAGCTCCTACGTCTCCTCCTCCTAGTGCGAGTGAGGGGGAGAATGGATCGGGTGCGGTTGGAGTGAGTGAGGATGAAGGAAATGCTAAGGAACGTGACCCTTTGTCTCCTCCTCCTCGTATCACTCCCACCCTCGCATCCACTCGCACTCGAAGGAACCCTCATCCCAACTCCAAGTTCAATGACTACTCTCTCGTGGCGGGGGACGATGAGGGAGGGGGAGACGCTATGTGTCTTGAGGCGTACACCGACACCCCGTCCACCTACCACGGCGCCATGAGCTCGGCGGAAGCGGCGGAATGGGAACGTGCGCTTCAAGAGGAGTACGATTCACTCATGGCGAACGACGTCTACGAGCTTGTCCCCATGCCTCCCGGCGCCTACCTCGTTGGCTCTCGTTGGGTCTTCAAGAAGAAGCTCGGCCCCAACGGAGAAGTGGAGCGGTACAAGGCGCGGTTGGTGGCGCACCCTCTTGAACTTTGGTTGCGTGGCGACGCGGACAATCCGCCGTCACCCCAACCTTCCGTGAAAACACCCCCCCTTGGTCCGAGTCAAGGGGGGTCTTAGCGTGGGGGGCAATCCCGTCCCCCACACTTCCAACAGTCGCAAATGCGATTCGCACACGATTAGGGCCCTTGCGACTCCCTACCGCCTTCGCGGACGCAGATCCTCACGGGTAGCGGGGTTAGGAATGGCAAATCTCTCGCGTCGCAGCTCCATCCTGCAAAATCGCTTAGCTAGCAGGTATGGTCCCGAGTGGACCATCCGCACCGTCCGTATAAGGCAACGCACCAGACTGCACCGCTCTGTGACGTACCCCGCGGCCAAGGCCAGCAGCCTCGGAAACAGCTTTGTTCCCTTCCGCGTTCCCGTGCCTGCCTGCTGTGAGTTCCCAGAGCGAATCGCTTAGCAGCTCCTTCCTGCATAATCGCGTAACCAGCAGGTTTTGGTTAGAATGGACGAGCCTCACCGTCTGGGCATTGCAAGCAACCGGGTTGAACCGATTTGTCGCATCTCCGGAGGTCTCGGCCAGAGGCTTTAGCTTCGTTCCCAAGCCATTCCACACCAACAGCGCACAGATTCGTTAGTTCTGCCCTATCCTGCCCGCTGCGTGAGTTCCCAATGCCTCGGCTTTCCCGCCTTGTCGCAGCAACCCTCTCGCTCTCCCTTCGTCGCCTGTGATCGCCTCTGCGAGTTCAAATCCGCACTCCCTCTACTCACCCTCATTCATCGCTCTCTATTCTTCGGTTTATACTCTCCATCTGACCTTGATCGCCAGTTTCGTACTATCTCGTTACTCTCGAGCCAGCTCCCACAGCTGCAGCATTACTTTCCTTGCCAGATCGGAACATCCTAAGCTTTCAGCTCTCTCCGGTACTTCTAGCTTCACACCCGAGGCTGCAACAGCAAGCAGTGTTCCCTCAAAAATCGTCACTGCTAGTTCTACCGCTCGGTTTCGGCCGCACACTTCAGCAGACCCGTCGGTATTCTCGAGCGTTCTTCCTCGGATGGCCGTCGATTCCGTGAGTGCATGCTCCTCGTCGTCAGCTGAGCACCCGTCGTTCGCGGAAGTCCTGAGCATCTGGAGGAACCGCGAAGCGGTTAAGCCGTCCCGCGTGCAAGTTGAAGTGCCGCTGAGATCCGCGACTGCATGCGCGGCGCCTTGTGAGGCTACTGTTGAAGAAGTTGAAGCGACTGTGGAGTCCGCTGTTGAGTCGCCTTCGGAGTCGACTTGCCAGGCGATTCCCGAGGAGATCTCCACTTGTGAATCGGCCCAGCTGCAAGTGACGCTGAGCTCCGCGACTGCTGAAGAGAAGGAGGAGACGGAGGAGGATCTGAGGAGTGACTGCGCTGGCAGCGACGACAGCAATGAGACGATTTCCGTCAGCTTTTCTGTCAGCAACAGCAGCGTCACGAGTTGTGAGAAGCACGAGAGGATGGACGGTGGTGACGCCAGCCCCAACGCACTGCCAGCCTCCCTTGTGCTGCTGCTGCACTCGCTGCTGTTGTTGCTGCAGCTGCACTTGCTGCTCGCGTCACTGCTGGTACCGCTGCTGAGAGTGGTGCTGCCCTTGCGGATTCCCAATGTAGACAGCACAAGAGCGCGTGTGAATGTGGATGGTGTGGAGGGGAAGGCTTGGAATGCACGTGGGGGTGCTGTGACCAACCAGAAGCCCACAGCAAGGAGCATGAGGCAGCAGCAGGAGAGAGAGCATGCTGTGAAGTGCAGAGAAGGAGCGAAGCTGGCAGCACCACCAAGGCAGCAGCAAGACCTTCTTGGAGGTCTTGAAGCTGCTGGCGCCACTGAAGCAAGAACAGGGAAATATTTATCTGTGGAGGTACAGAACAGAAACATCTCCAATAGCTAGTAGACTCCGTGTCTCTTAGATAGCTCTCTGCAATCTTGTATAATATGTTGGAGTATGAAGGGAATCGTAAGCATTCCCGAAGGTGCAGCAACATCGCACCTGCCACCATCGAAGCAGCGCAAACAGCAGATGTCGGATCAGCCTATATCAAGGCAGGAAAGTCAACAGTCGCAAGAGTCAACTGTCGCGACTGTTGACTATCTGGACCGACGATTGACCTACTATCGAGGAATGGCAACAGGCGTAACCGTACGCACGGTTACAAGCAGCGACTCGGTAACAAGAAAGGAAATGCAATAGTCAGAGTCACTGTTGTACTGCCTGTAAAACAGTTATAATAAGGGAATGTACCCCTTAGAGTACATGGCTAGTTAGGACTATTTATCTTGCTTGTATTCTATCAATCAATCAACCTTTTCATTTACATTCACTATGATCAAGGGTTCCTACCAAGACTTCCGCTACCAATTTTCTCAGAGCACTTCCTATCCTATCCAAAGATCCTCACTCTAGCATGGTATGAGAGCCAGTTTGGATTATAGGAACTGCTAAAAAGACCTCTTCTCAGAAGGTAACTCTTCATATAACTTACTACAAGGGCAAGCAAACATGCCAGGCGCCGACTGCGGAGAAACTGGAGAGAATCCAGTACATCCGTCCACTAATGCTACCTCCACTACAACAACCGTGGACACAGCACTCCTCGAGCAGCTGATTTCCCGCATCAGCGCACTGGAGAGCCATCAGCCAATGAGCATTGACGGCTCCAGCTACGCCCGAAGTGTCAGAATCACTAGGCAAGAATGAATGAACTAACAGGAGTTTGGGTACAAAATATGAAACCCTAGTTGGGGTTGTACCCCATATTGGCTACCCCACTACAGCCTACAAGCATAATACAGTTTAACACACCCCCATAGGCAAAGTGGGGGAGAACAAAGGGTCACAAGACCAGTCCAGCAAAGCAAAGCAAAGCCCAGGGTGGATCACAACGTCACCACACTCCGAGCACAAGTAAAGGCCACAAGGCCAGTTCACATGCAGTGCTAGATATAGTACAAGACAAGCAACACAGTGATCAAAACCTAGCAAGCAAGCAACAAGATATATATAAAGTACAGTACAAAGACTGTCAAGCAGTGAGCAAGTGAGGAAACGTGGACACAAGGCCTAAAGAAGAACAGTGCCGCTGATGATCACTAGGCGGGAGCGCCTTGGTGAAGATATCAGCAGTGTTGGCCTTCGAGTCCACGTACACAAGCCGAAGCTGACCGCGCTGCTGAAGCTCTCGAGCAAGAAAGTAGCGAAGAGCAATGTGCTTCGTCCTGTGCTCCAGTCTGTGCTCCTGACACAAGGCAAGAGCCGCCTTGTTGTCACCATACAGAACTGGAGGAGAACTAGGCCGCTCTCCCAAGTCAGTCAGCAGGTAGGTGAGCCAGCGTAACTCCTGTGCAGCCATGGCTGTGGCGTAGATCTCAGCCTCACAACTAGAGCTGAGAACAGAGGAAGAGCGGGTGGACCGCCACGAGACAGAACCTGAGCCAAGGCTGAAGGTGTAACCCTGTGACGACCGCTGCGTAGCCAGGTCGTCCACCCAAGAGGCGTCCGAGTGACCAGTGAGGACAACTCTGTCGCGTCCTCCAAGCACCAGCCCCATGCCTGATGTACTGCACAGGTAACGCAGCACCCTCTTAGCAGCCTCCCAGTGCTCTCGCCTGTGTCTCCCAGGCGCAACGTAACGAGCAAGGATGCTAAGAGGGTACGCGAGGTCAGGTCGCGTGCAAGTCATCAGGTACATGAGGCAGCCTACAAGCTCTGGGTACGGGCCACTCGGCTCTACGGACTCGTCCGAAGGTGGAGCTGAGAGCGAGTGGCTGGTAGCCAGAGGTGTGGCCTGTGGTGAGGAGAACTGGAAGCCGAAGCGCTGAAGGACCTGCTGCACCATGTGTGACTGAGTCAGGGTGATGGTGCGGCGAGCTCTGTCCCGGGTGATCTGCAAGCCAAGGTAGCTACGCAGTTCACCCAGGTCAGTGCAGGTGTGTCTCTTCTGCAGCTCCGACTTCACACGAGCGAGTGCCTCAGTGTCAGCAGTAGCAAAGACCAAGTCGTCGACGTACACGAGAATGTAGAACGGCGGCAGCGACGTGTCTGTGCGTAGAAACAGTGACGGGTCAGCAGTAGACGGCGCGAACCCAAGAGCCGCAAGAGTAGTCCTCAGTGTGTCGTGCCACTCACGTGGCGCCTGGCGGAGACCGTAGACTGGCCGACGGAGACTCCACTGGGTACCAGGGGGAAACGACCCAGTAAAGCCAGGTGGGCGGCGCAGCCAGATCTCCTCGTGCAGGCTGCCCTGCAGGAACGCTGTGCTGAAGTCAAGAGAGTGAAGCTCGTAGTCACGCTGAGCAGCAACGTGCAGCAGAACCCGAAGAGTGGTCATCTTCGGGGTGGGGGAGAAGGTCTGGAAGAAGTCGACCCCCTGACGCTGACTGAAGCCTCTAGCAACGTAACGAGCCTTGAAGACAGGTGGAGAACCTGGCGGCCGCTTCACCCTGAAAATCCACATGCCATCGACGATGTTCGCCCCAGGAGGGGGAACCTCGTCGACGTAGGTGCCTGTGGACTTCCAGGATGCCATCTCTGCGTCCATGGCTGTCTGCCACTGAGAGGAGTAGGGACCCGAGATCGCCTCTGCGTAAGTGCGCGGAGTGGGGATGTCTAGTGCATCCGGGTCTCCCTCAGGGGCAAGCAACCAGGCCACGAGATGAGGTACAGCAGCCGCAAGAGAGTCAAAGTCCTCCTGCCTGTCCTCAAGGACGTCCGTGCCAAGAGCACACTCACCCCCGACGGACGGAGGACAGACAGACGCAGACTCTGACGCAGCAACAAGGCTAGCAGCGTAGTCTAGACGACAGGTAGCAGCAAAGTCAACCAACTCAGCGACCAGAGCAGACGCAGCCGAGGACTCAAAGGTAGGGTCGGTGACAACAGTAGCGAGGAGACGCGTGACTGTAGGGTGCTCAGCGCGATACCGGTCAGACTCAGGGTCCGGAACGGCAGGCAAAGAGGACGCAGGAGGGGACGGTAGAGGGACACGCCGAGGAGCAGTAGAGGGACGCAGAGTCATGTAGTGAGTGCCTGGGACAGGAGGAGGACGCTCACGACGGACACGACTAGCAGTGCGAGCAGGACGAACAGGCGACGCAGGACGAGACTCAGGCTCACGACGCTCTGTAAGACCTCCTGTGGGACCAGTATAAGGAGAGGGAGCAGGGAGAGGCGAGGTAGGCGGTAACCGTGACTGCGGCTGGACAGGCGGAGGACACTCTACGGAGGGAGGAGGACAAGGAGGAGGAGCCTGCCCAAGAACCTGCTGAAGGAGCGGTACGAAGTACGGTCGCGGCCGCGCAGCGTCTCGAGAAGCAGAAGGGACTCCAGCGGCCGGGTCCTCAGCACCAGTAGGAGCTCCAGCGTCCGGGTCCACAGCACCAGCAGCAGCTCCACCGGCCGGGTCCCCAGCTCCAGCAGCAGCTCCACCGTCCGACTCCTCAGCACCAGCAGCAGCGCCACCCCCAGAGTCAGCAGCTCCAACTCCGCTAGCACCGCCAGCGCCAGAGTCCCCAGCTCCAGTACCCCCAGTACGAGCACCCCCAGGACGAGCAGCTCCAGCACCCCCAACTCCAGCCGAGCCACTGGGACGGCGAAAGCGTCGGACGTACCAGTCACGAAGCTGCTGCGGTGTGAGAGACTGCTCAGCACCCCGAACCGGAGCACCCCCAGACGCAGTAACCCGAGGCTCCGTAGGCTCAGTAGCAGCACCCCCAGGCTCAGTACCCGCAGGCTCAGTACCCGCAGGCTCAGCACCCCCAGTCGCAGCACCCCCAGGCTCAGCACCCCCAGGCGGCAAACTCTCAGGCACAGTACCCTCAGCTCCAGCACCCGCAGTCCCAGCACTCCCAGGCCCCGCACCCGCAGGCTCAGCACCCCCAGGCGCAGCACCCCCAGGCTCCGTACTCTCAGGCACCGTACCCTCAGCTCCAGCACCCTCAGTCCCAGCACCTGCAGCCCCAGCACCCCCAGGCCCAGCACCCCCAGGCTCAGCACCCCCAGGCTCAGCACTCCCAGCAGCACCACCCGCAGCAGCACCTGAGTCACCTGTGACCTCGACAGGCTCAGCGACGGGAGGAGGGTCTACCTGAGAGACACCTGAAGGAGCAGGACCCTGAGGGGGAAGGGGGTCTACCGGAGGGGGACCAGGAGCAAGGAAAAGCGGCGGGGGAGGGAGGGGGGCAGTGCGGTAGGGGAAGAGACGGTAAAAAGGGACCGACTCGTCAAAGGTGACATCCTGAGAGGCGAAGACCCGGCGCGAGGTGGGGTGGTAAAACTGCCAGCCAGGCGCGTCAGGGACAAAGCCAAGGAAGACACAGGGAAGCGTGCGGGAGGAGAGCTTGTCCGCGGACGTATCGCGGACAAGGGCACGAGCACCCCACACCCGGAAGCGCGACGCATCGCCAACCTCCCCCGTCCAACGCAGTGTGGGCGAGGTCTCCGGCAAGGAGACACGGGGCCAGAGGTTGAGCTGATGCGCGGCGTACCGGACAGCAAACGGCCACAGAAAATGGGGAGCCGCCGCGTGGACCAAGGAGGTACGAGCGACCTCCATGACCAGGCCAATGCGGCGCTCAGCAACCCCATTCTGCTGTGGGGAGTCCGGAAGCGTGAAGGTCTGCTCGATGCCCTCCGCCTGACAGAAGGTCCTCAAGAGGTCGGAGGAAAACTCACCACCCCTGTCAGAGTGCAGACGCAGGACAGGAAGATCCGTCCGGAAACGGCGGCGGAGCTGGAGACGAACCGTGCGGATCCAAGGGATCAGAACAGCAGGGACCTCACCCTTGGTGCGCAAGGGGAAGACCGTGGTGTAACGCGAGTAGTCGTCGACAACCAGCAAAAAGTACCGCTCACCGCCCTGACCACGAACGCGGGCTGGGCCCCACACGTCCAGG